GAGTTTGCATTACACACAACCTTTACAGTCTCATTCTCACCTGGATGAGAGACGTTTTTTTCCTTCGCAATTGGCAAAATGTTCCTCATTTCTGAAAGATGTGATTTAAACAAAAAATTACCATAATTTAATGATTGTAGTTATGCGTTCAAATCAAAGTGATTCTGTATTGCTTTGGTTGCACTTCACTGCCTGTATATGCACCGTGTGTTTCCCCATATTTAGTAAGGTTCAAAGACCTCTGACTGAGTGTTATTGGACCCATTAAACCTAGCATGCAACACTAGATACAGCCATAATAAGCAATGCAAGTGCAAACTACACAGCTGCATAAAATATACATAATACAAATAGCTTTGCAAATAGCTCTTCTCAGATAGCTATCCCAACATAACTATCTAAATGTAAGCACTGATGTAAAAGTCTGCCTCAGTTATAGATTTTATTTGCACACAGTGAAATATAACAAAATGATATGGCTGAGCATTTTTGTGACCACGTGGACAAACGAGGATTTGACTAAGTGCAAATCAGTGAGAATATAAGTGAGACAAAGATCCTAATGACTACAGAGCCATTTGTGTGAATAGTAATCTTGCAGAGGTTTCCTGTAGCATTATAAACCGACAATTCACTACCCTAATTTCTGCTGCGTAAATATTCTGTTCAGCCATATTTATAAGGCGCTTTTTCAATACAGTTTCACAATATCTTCATGCCAATAAAGCCCTTTAAATTTGAATTTGACAGGAAGAGATAACTAGAATAAGCGGAGACAAGGCGCGAGAAAGTCAGAGAGAGAGAAATGAATAAAGATTGACAGTCAAAGTAATGAAAGATCACAAAAGCCGAGAAAAAGAAAGATAAAATATTGGTGTAATTCCTCAGAGAGCAACACGAGCCGCAACCCGCAAGGGAGAAAAGACAAAGAAAAAAAAACATCGTAACAAACGTAACCAACATTGTAACCACCTTGTTTCCTGTTCACACTGCACTTTAATTCCTGTGTGTGTACCTGAGGCTTATAGCTCCTGTCACAACCAATGCTATTCACTAGTGGAATAGATTCAATGATGGGCCAAGGTGGAAGTGTGTGGACAGAATATGTGTGTTTGTGAATAGGCCTTTGTGTCTGTTCTGCCTTTTGTTCGTGTATGTATATGTGTGTGTGTGTGTGTGAGACACCTGTCCCAGTGTGTTTGTCTCCAGAGAAATACCAGAACAAGGACGTGATGATTTGAGAGATCAGCCAGAGTCACAGTGCGGCAAGTTAGAGGTGCCAACCGTTCATTTTCTATGAGGGGCAGTGAATCCATCTTGCAGAGCATGATGGGATTTATGGGCAAAATCTTCTGACTATGACCTGGAAGGGGTGGAAAATTGCAGCACGATAACCAATCACATCTGAGATCTGTCATGTATTTGATGTATTTATATTTCAGCCTTCATCATTTTACTGCCATTTTATTCCAATTAGGCACAGATCCTGCTCTGATCTGTTTTCCATGGGTGATCACAGCGAAGCCAAATTCCAACAACCGTGAAAGCAAACCATATTTCACTTTGAGTTCTGTATAATAGCTCAGGTTAGCGGATCCATTATAAAAAAAGGCGTGTGGATGTGTGCGATAAAGCTTGCAAGACGTATACACACCTGCATCTTTACAGAAACAAGGCCACTGGGACTTGAGGATCAGGTGTCAAAGTGCCACATTAATTAACACAGAGCTTGAGCACTCATCCATGATTTTATCTGCAGTCACAAGGCACGTCGGTGTGTGTGAGCATGTAGGTGTGCATGTAGGCTTATCTATGATCTGGTGTCTGCCTCTGTCAGCTTCCCCCTCGGGCATCAGTTTTTACCTGACTGCACGCTTTCAACTGAACAGATTTTATTTCAGTATCCGAGTTGTCCTGGCTGATGTGCTTACGAGCATATCAGCCACGCTTGAAGGGGAAAAAAATCTTTTTACTATGCTCAGAAGTGTGAGTGCCTTGGATTTCCCTTTTCTTTTGTGCTTACTGTTCTGTTTATGAAAGATGAAATGATGAAAGATGAAAGTTGAGGTGATGTACTCTAAATAACTATTAAAATGAATTTACTGGACTGGAGAACAGATGTCTGGCTCTGCCGGCTGTAGCGGTAATAACATAACTATTAGAAAAAATCACAAATACCCCACTGACAGAGATCATAACAACTACAATAGTGTACGGTGTGTTTTTGCTTTCCAAAGAATATTGGGCATGTTTCCATAAAATAAGCATTAGCTTCATGTACCTTGTTCTGCACTCACGCAAGAATCGAGTTAAAAAAATATCTTACAGGTGGGACTGGAAGACAGAAGCAAAGAAGTTGCATGAGTCACGTAGTGAAAGAAAGCCTCAGGTGAAGGCCGACTGATGAAACAATGATGCACTCATTCATCGTCAGACAAAACAATTGCTCGGAATTGCAAGACGGGATTCAAAACGTGTGACGTTAACCTTAAACTAATTCAAACTACACATTTTTACAATGCTGACAATGGCACTACTGATAGTACGTTAAAAATATCAAAAATATACCTTCACACTGTTAAATGCAAAAAGCTCATATGGTGTTCTGATGAAAGGTATTTTTTTCTAAAATATCAAAGATTTCTCCTACATTTACAATAATATAGCAGATGTTCACATTTTATTGAGAGCAGAAGAGAGAACATTACACACTCAAGTACTATACTCAAGTACCAATTTGAGGTACTCCTACTTTATTATTATTTCCATGTCAGCTACAGTACTTTTTACTAAATAACATTTGACAGCTTTACTTGCAAGTTACTTTACAGATTAAAAATGTATAGAAATACAAAAAATATATGATCATCTTAGATAACAGGATTATTAAACTACCCTACAGTATATTAAAAAATCGTAGACAGACTAGTTACACATTAACCTTACTATTATGTTGAAAGAATTACATCCATTATGTGGGTTGACTTCACTTAGGACTCCAGTTTAGGAGAGTTAGTGCAGCAGTAATGATATATTATGATTTATGCCTTATAGTATATAGTAGTATAAAACACATGGGGCCATTTTCCTGAATTACTATTACTTCTCTTTACATACATTTGGCTCATTTGACTTGTAATAGAGTATTATATTACTGTTACAACAATAAAGGATCTGAATATTTCTGGTTTTGGAAGTGGGGCAAAAGGTGTTTTCACAGCTCTGATATCAACTGTAGACTGATGTTGTTTATATTTGTTATAATCTTAATGCATCTTATTGGTTTGTCCTCTCTCATTTGTAGTTTTGCCTCCGTTATTCTCAGATTTTATTATCATGTCTTTGTCTCTATGCTTGTAATTTGTGCATCCAAAGATTATTTCAATCCCTTTTCCTGTTAATTTTCTTATATGCACTTGTTGACACCATCTCTCTTTCTGTTTGTCTCTCCCTCTTAGCCCAATCACATGCAACAATCACACTCATTTCCACATCCTCCCATCAGCTGTGTCACCACAGTGACCTTGAGCAGCAGGCTGCTGATTGGCTTCTATGTTGATGATTTGGAGGTCGTGAACCCCAGCACTTGGAATTAATGGACTCTGTCGCACAACTACAGGGCCCCTCGACACATACACGCCCACATACACAGATGCCACGGCTAGTAATAGACGGTCAATGGGAGTCACAGCCCTTACAAACCTAATTATGTGAACTAATGGCAGGCATCAGCCAGGGAACACTCACTGTGGCGCACACACATAAACATACAGACTCAATCACAGCAGCATGGGGTCATATAGAACCTACAAGGTGATCACGGACATATATACAGGTAATGTCCATTGGCATCACTTAATCGGATTTATGTGTGACATTTTTTGTGTAGCCAGTGGCAACTTCGGGTACTGTGAAAGTGCACACACAGCCCAATCTAGATCATGCACACACAGCACAAGACACACAGTTTACACATCAGTAGCGGTGTTTGGCCCAGTGTAAAATAACAAGCTGCAGGCATCTTGATATGACAGCAAAATGCAGGTCAAACCACACATATCACCAACACGCACCCTTAAAGTGACAAGAAGAAGTGCCTATTACAGCAGAGATACACACATATACTTTTTATACACACACACACACAC